CCCCGCCAAGGGGGTGGCAAAAATGACACCAGAGTAGGTGTCCACTGAGACATGAAGGTACTTGATGCGGCCAAACTCCGGAACATGAGTAATATCCATTTGCCATAAGGCGTTTGGTCGCAGACCCCAGGGGTTGATGCCGACATGAGGAGGATGGAGAAAGGTGACGCAAGAAGAACAAGCTTTTACAATACTTCTAGCATCATTCCTGGTCAGGGCAAATTTCCTCCGTAGGGTGTCAGCGGGGACATGATATCTGCAACCTCCATCATCCTACCCACAAAATCTGCAAACGGCTCCACAGGCCCTTGGATAATTTTTGTCAAATTTCCAGCCACCTCCCCCTTATTGGGGAGCGCCTTCCAGGCCCTGTAATGAATATCACTTATCTGTTGATAGACCTCCATAGGAAGTCCAACCTGGTTGCCAGCGAACTGTCCTTGTCCCAGAAGCATATCAACTGTCCAATCATGATAACCATTTTGAGCATTAACTCTAGCCTGGGTATGGGCTCTATCGGCAACCAGAGACTTAAAATCTAGAAATTGTCCCTTAGTCAAGCAGGCCCTGGCCAACTCTGTCCAATCTGTAGGCGTCAGCACCGAGGTGCAAAGTCTGCACAGGAGGGCGATTGGATAATCTGCAGTAGCCCCAAAATCCTTAACTGCTGTTACCAGATCTTTTAATTGTTTATATGGCACTGGCTCATACCACCTATGATGGGTGACAGAATCCTCCATCACCGGGTATGCTGAGGCTAAGAGTGCCCAAGTGCTCTGGCTGATATAATGGCAACCCTTTCCTGATTCAGTCACTTGTGCACCTAATGGAGGTGCTGAGGGGCAAGACACACCCTCCATTGGCGCGCGAGCACCGGGTGGGTTATAGGCTGGGGGACGGTGTTAGTCCCGCTCATACCTTTCTTCCTCATACTTAGCAGCCTCCTCCTCTAGCTCCCCCTCTTCCTGTGAGCTGAGTTCATCATCCGACAAATCTAAATCAGTGAACTCTGTGGAGACTAGGTAAAGCTGGTTCTTTTCCTTTCCATCCCTTCTTCCCATTGAGGGTTCTCTTGAGTTTCTTTTTGAGGTATACCCTTTATCTTTTTATCCTTTTCCTTTTTACTATCCTTTTTTATCTTTATTCTTTTCGGTCTAGACCTGCCTAAGTCCCCACCTTTTAAATCAGACTCTGATAGGCTGTCCTGGTGTGCTTGCAGTCCCCTCTTCCCTTCCCTGCGCAACCATTGTCAAAAACGACAATGACGAGGGCCACAAAGATCAAGCAAAATACCTTAGGTGCAACCTCAGCAGTCATCATACTTGGGAGACTCACCGACGTCGCCGCTCCGCGTGTTCTGAATCCTATTTGGCCCCTCACTCGGTCCCAAAGCTTGTCCCAGCGTCCCGGGATTTCCGCACCAGTTGCGGCGAACTCCCTGACCAGCAGGAAAGAACAGCCACCAGACGAGGATTCTTCCCAAATCACGCTTTATTGGAGCCTCTTGGTCATGGGGAGAGCAGAAAGCAAGGGGCCCCGAGCTCTGATTTGCAGCTGCTTATATAGGGAGTCTGCCTAGCAACCTTTGATACTTTGATACTTTAACTGCTTTTCTGGAGACCCACCCGCAGGAAAGAAAGCAGGGGAACATCCCTGTCAATTACAGACCACAAGGAAGTTCCCCTGCCGGTCAGGGGAAGTGTGGGCAGCTAGATCACAACAACTCATCCTGTTTTCTGGTGGAAGAACTGCAACCTTTATTATGGTATCAAGCGAGGCTGGGGCCAAATGCCATCTTGTAATGGCAGCCACTCAAATCGGCTCCCAGCACCTCTCACCAGTGCCATCAGATTCTCCTTCCCAGTCATCCGTTGCCTCTTTCTAGTGTCTACAAACATTCCAAGGTCAGGGATGGAAACCTTGCTAGAATATTTCTAAAGTAACTAGTGAATTATTTATCTCCTATTTCTAGTCATTGATTCCTAGAATTCTGAGTCCTGGTTGTGTAGGAAATATTGCCATCTGCAGATATGGATAAGAATATGTATATACTAACCTGGAGTACATTGCTCTAGACTTTCAGTCCTGTTCCACCTATCTGAATCTATTTGAAGGTACTCATGTCTTCAAAAGTCACCCATTATTCTGTTGTATCCATTTCTTTAAATGGGGGAAAGCATGGAGGAGAAGTGCATTAACACAAGAACAAAAATTTTCTTATTTTCTAGATCCTTTGAAAGATATTCAGGGGAGGAGTGGCCAAACTTTCTGACAAGAACACAGCATATTTTTATTTTTCATGTAATCATAGATAAATGTTGTTATATTACAGAATTGGATAGATTCCAAGAAGAAAAAAGCCACTGAAAATCAAAACTAAATTTCCACAAAACTGTGAAGCTATGTTAATTATTTTATCACTGTAATAATGTGTGGTATATTGTGGTATATTTAAATATCACTCAATTGATGTTTTCTTAGATTTTGAAAAGGAGAAAATATCATATGAGGTTATAACCTGGCGTCTACCTGAAGATCAGAAAAAAGAATTTCATAATAGAGTATATCTCCTTGTGGAAAAATTATTTAATGAAAGGTAATTTGCTTTATTTCTTGGAACCAAAGTATTGCTGATTAAGTCCTATGCATGAGTATATCATAGTCGTATGATGCTTTGAGTGAGTTTAAGAGAAGCGACGACTGGATGATTTATCCAGTGTAGGGATGGATTGTTTTTGAGTGATGCCTGGTAGGTGACTGACAGCTGCTGAAACTGTGTCAGTAGGCCATTACCTTGTGCTGATGCCCAGATTAGTAGAAATGGGTTAATTTAAGATATAAGAGTTAGCCAGAAATACCCTAAGATATTGACCAAACAATATTACAATTAATACATATTTCTGTATGGTTATTTCGAATCAAGGCAATCAGAGAACAAATAAGCAGCCTCTGGCAACAAATTGGCACAGCAGTATTGGGCAAGAATTTCCACATAAAGTATAAGAAAGCTTTTAAAAAGGCTTCTAGATGCACAAAAACAGGAGGCAAGCACAGTTTCCTGGTAACAGCATTTTTTTTTTCCCAGATAGGCTTTGCTTGCAAGGGAGGTGCAGTAAAAGCTGCATGGATTCTTTAATAAACTGTGGCTTCCTCGTTCGCCTGCACAAATGGCTCTGACTCTTTAGGGATTTCTGTCTACAGAACATTTAAATGTGGTTTGTGAACAGAGTGTTACAACTTGCTTAATGGCAACATAGACCTACTGTGTGCCTAAAATTGGGACCGGGAGCATGGCTCACAGAGGTTACAAACATGCCTCCATCATGTTGGACTGGGTAGCGCCAATAGGCAGAACTGTGGTGTTGATTCTAGTCATGCCTGCTTAGCATAAAAAAGTGCTCCTGGTCATAAAATAATTACAGATATGCAATAAAGACAGATTCAGATAAAAGACATCTAAGTGGGTCACAGTGTTGGATATATGTACGTAGGTTTGAGAGAGAGAAGAAAAAATAAAGAAAAAAGTAAAAGAAAGCCTTTAAAGAGACAGAGCACAGACGTCATATTAAACTTGTAGAAAAAGTAATAGAGTAAGAAAGGTAAGCCACGTAAAGTGGAATATACAAAGAGAGTTTGGATTTTAAATATTATTGTGTTTTCTTTGAATTTTTTGACTACAGAGAAATATTTGATTCTGCAGGCTGCTAAGCTAAACCATCATATATGTTTTAAAAGTATCTTGACTTCAAAATTTGGGAATAAGGATTTGTTGCTTTGGAAAAGAGGTTCTTCTTTTGTTTCAACAGAGGATGAGAACCTGTGAATTCCTTCCAGACTCATGTGGTTTGATGGACCAAGACCTGCTGAAAAGTCGCCATGAACACCCCCCAAAATTACTTTGCCCAACAAAAAGCAGGAAGCAGTTTGGAGAGAACTAGGTCCAAATTCCCAAATATTGTTTATAAGTGTTTGTTTACATTTCATGGGGGATCTGCTATAGAGATGAATACTTTGCATTGGTATGGATCTTGGTTTATTGATAAAAATTTAAGGTCAATTTTGTTATATGTATATTTCTCCTCTTGATTAAAGTATTGTGTTTGTGCAGCTCATTGAAAAATGTATTTTATAATTAAAAAATACAGATTAATAGTCATCTCTAATAGTTAATCTTGTAGCCATGTTAGTTATGTTTTCTAGATATACAAAGATATATTTCAGATGGATAGATATTCTTCAGAACTTTCAAAGACCTACAAAATATGATATTCAAAATGTTTTGAGAACTTAGGACTTTTCATGACAGTGAAACACATCTGCTCCTGGCAGCACCAATCTACTCCAAGAGGTTGATGGGCATCAGAGAGGCTCCTTATGTAGTTGTTTAGTCATTTGGGAAAGAAACTGCTCTTGCCTGAACTACTTGATGTTATACTGTATGAACGAGACATGCAGGACCCACTGAAAAATGACTGCTGACCTTGCCCAAAGCTGAGATACTCCTTCAGGGTTCTTACTTCATGAAAGTATCTGCCAGACATTCAGCAGGACACAGAAAAAGGCGACTGACAAATTGCTAATACAGGCAATTTGTCTTTGAAATTTCTTGATCATGGAAATGTTTTCCAGATATTATGGGCTTGTAGGATGAAGAATGGAAGCCCCAATATTACAGAAGAATGTTCAGGCCATGAGATGTCTCTGTCAATTCTAGAGTTTGGAAGTTGCTTACAATGCACTTCCTGTTTACTTAGGTAATATTATGTCCTTCTGGAGTCTTTGATAGACTTTAAGAATAGATAGTAATAGTTTTCCTTAGTTATGATAAAATATAAAGTAGATATAAATATTGTAACTGTAATTCTTGCTTGATATCTGTTTTGTTATATGTAATTTTACTATGTTAATGTTAAAATCTTCCTTTTAATTTAGACAGAAAGGGGGAAATGGGGTGGGAAGTCCTTCTGTATATCTGTTGCTTTCATTGGTTAATGAATAAGAATCTTCTTTGGACTGTGATAGGGCAAAATGTAGCTAGATGGGACAACTAAACTGAATGCTGGGAGAAAGTAGGCAGAGTCAGCGAGAATCTATTTAGCTGCTGCCAGAGACAGATGCCTCTGCTGGAGCCCATTTAAACTGTGCCAGTAGGCCATGACCTTGTGGTCATGCACAGATTATAGAAATGGGTTAATTTAAGATGTAAGAGTTAGCCAGAAATACACTTAAGCTATTGGCCAAACAATATTGCAACGAATACAGATTTTTGTGTGACTATTTTGAGTCAGGGCGGTCGGGGAATGAATGAGCAGCCTCAGGCAACTTGGAAGCGTGTGTGTGTGTGTGTGTGTGTGTGTGTGAATGTGTGTGTGTGTGTGTGTGTGTGTGTGTGCAACCTCAGAGTGTGCTGGAAATCATATGAGCTTTGCTCATGTTGCTTCATAGTGCCTTGTATTCTCAGTGTTCTCCATTCTTTTGACTCTTTCATTCTTTCAGCCTGCTCTTCCTACCAATTCATTGATCTCCAAAGCGAGAGATTTGATGGAGACATTCCATTTAGGGTTGAGTATTCCAAGGTCTCTTACTCTACATTGTGCCTGGCTGTGGGTCTTTATATTTGTTCCCATCTGCTGCAGGAGGAAAATTCTCTGGTGGTGAATGAGCAAGTTACAGATCTACTAGCTTATCAAAATATCTTTAGAAGTCATTTTCTTGATACACTTTTTTTGTTTTGATTTTTAACCTTATAGTATTTGTGATTTCCTAGGTGCTTGAGTTATCTAATGTCAGGTTCTTGATTATTCAAGCAGTATTAGGCATAGATTTCATCTCATGGAATGGGCCTTAAATCAAATTAATTTTTGGTTGGTTGTTCCCAAAAGTTTGCATCTATACTGCCCTAGCACATCTTGCAAGGAGGACAACATTGTAGATCAGTGGTTTTGTAGTTGGCTTGGCATTTATATTTTTCCTTTGTCTTCAGAGAATGTGCTTATACCAAGGATGCTAGATGCTAGGCTCTCTAAAGGCAACAGATCAATTTCTCCATGATCAATGATCTGTGTAGGTGTTGTCTTCAGCAATAGTACCTTCCTGCCAGTTTGTGAAGAGTAATCTATAGTTTTAGAAACTACCTGGGTTGTTTGGGGTATTCCATTTGGCCAACAATTCAATTATATTTGACCCAATTATGGTACTGGATGCTCATTTGCTGCCAGGAGATGGATAATTAGGGCTCTGTCTCCTCCATTATTTGTCAGTTTTACTTAGAACACCTTCATATATGTATATATTTTATGAAATGTCTATTGTTTTAAGTTTTTATACTACCCCTCAATTGCTCTTAATTTTAAATGTGTCTGCCTGCATTCCCTCTCTCATCACTTTCTCCACTCCATACTTCATCCTCTCATTCCAGACTCTCACTTCCACCCACAACTCCCTACATTTTCCTTTCTTAATAATATCTCCTTGTGCCTACATTTCCCTTACTCTACACCTAAACTCTGCAGTTCTATGGATTGTAGGCTGGTTATTATTGGCATAACAGCTAATCGCCACAGGTAACCTCATAATTTTCTTAATGTCCAGGTGATATACATGAATCTCAGGCTTTTAGCCCTTGACTGATGCTCAGAACCTCCTTTGTCTTCTACATGGATGACAAGTTCACATGTGTCCCTTAGTTAAGTCCATTGGTCTCACTCCCATCTCTGTCCTTGAAAATTCTACTTAACAGTCATGGTTGTGATAACAGCATCAAGATTCTTTTTGGAAAACTTTCTCACTCACAGTAACTTAAAGATCATATATCATTTTTTCATATGTTTGAAGGAAGTCAAATTGCACCTTAGTCTATGCGGGCAGATATTTATACACATTTAAAACATATATATTGTGTCTCCTTCTAAGTTTGTACTTTTGAGGAGTAGTTCAAATTACAGGTAGAATACAGTCAAGTTGCTGAGACCAGCATCTTCTTGAGAATTTTTGCAATTGATTTTCCTCAAAGGGATCACCATTCTGTTGTCAAGAAACCAAAGTGCACATACTATAGCTATTTAGAAATTATTACCTAAATGTATATTTTAAAATGGAATGTAGATGATAAATGTAGAGGATTATGAATTGCATAAATCTATTTCTATTATTATAACAGATTAACAGAATTTGGGTGAATATATAATGAAAAGAAGCATATTTAAGTCACAATTGTGGAAGTTCAAGATTATGGGGCTAACAGCAGTCAGTTTGATTGAAGATACCATGATAGATGGTGTCATAATGACTAAAGTATGTGATTGGAAGAGTCAAGAGAAGGGAAAGAACAGGTTTGCATCTCCCACAGGAGTTAACTCAAAGTCCACTGCAGATCATTTCAAACATCTAAAGGAAAAGGGCCTCTAATAATCTCATACTAAGTTGTTCTCTTAAAGATATTCCCTCCCTACAGCCACACTGAACAACATCTCTCTGACAGAGGAACCCTTGAAGGCAAACCTCAGTTGTGATTTGAAGTTGAGTCGAGAATGAGCAAAGATAGGAGTGTGCCACTGGGCTCTCATCTTGTGGATCTTTTGATGTATGAATGGAGCACAAATTCTAATTGGTCTTAATAAATAAAACTCTGAGTCAGATATTAGGGGGAGAATTTCGAGGGTTCATAAAACAGTGCAGCCAGACACTAGAGTTCTTTTACCACTACTAATGTTCAGATTGAAGGGAAAATCCTGTTGTCAGATTGTATCTTCAGACTCCATCTGTCTCCACCAAACCTCAGACTGCTTCCAGCTTGTGTCCTCTTGCCTTATATTCCTTTCTTCCCAGTCATATCACTCCTGTCTCCACCTTTTTAGTGCTGAGATTAAAGATGTGTAACTCCCAAATACCAGGATTAAAGGTGTTTGCCACCACTGCCTGGCCTCTAGTGGCTTAGTTCTGCACTCTGATCTTCAGGCAAGCTTCAATTTTAAAACACAAACAAAATATCACTACATAGGATGACATCACACACTTGTGCATCTTACCAGGTCGCTTATCTGGTAAGCATTGATGTGAAAGATTCATCAATAAGATGACTAAAATTTAGCACAATCTTCAGTGGAAATTTGACTCAGAATTGTGATAATAATTTTCCAATCACACTTATGTTTACAATTAGGAATTTGAGCATGTGAAAAATTAGGTTTTATCATGGATTTTAAAGAATTCATAACTTTCACTATCCTTTGCTCTAATTTGTCCCAACCGCCAACACAACCTTCTATGCCTCCTAATTACTTCTAATGTCTTTAATTTTACGTGCTTTCATAGCCTCTTTTCTAATTTCATCACCCAAAGGAAATAACCATAAATGCACACAACCACACACAGAGTTAAATTTAGGTATCACACAAAGTAGAAAAAAAAACTCACTAGATCAGATAGATAATGGGCTTATGTTTGCCTAGTTGTGGAATACTTTCATTGAATTTAACATTATTCCAAATAGTAAGAAATATCTTCCCCAAATATTTGCTGTAATGTTTTGCAGGTTCAGTCATCACACACTTGTAAAGATATATAAATACTTTGCGGATATATGCAGTCACTTGTTAAGCAGAAAGGACATCATGGACTCCTTAAGGAATAAGAACTTTGACCTACTATTTTTGGATGCAGCAGAACCTTGTGTTTTCTTAATTGCTGAGAAACTTGAAAAACAATTTGTGGCTTTTCTTCCCATGCAATTTAGCTCTATGGACTTTGGAATCCCTAGCCCCTTGTCTTATGTTCCAGTGTATCGTTCAAGACTAACTGACCAAATGGACTTCTGGGGCCGAGTAAAGAACTTCCTGATGTTCTTTGATTTCTCCATGAAGCAAAGACAAATATTTTCTCAATATGATGCAACCATCCAGGAACATTTTGCAGAAGGCTCTTGTCCAGTTTTGTCTGATCTTCTACTGAAAGCAGAGCTGTGGTTCGTCAACTCTGACTTTGCCTTTGAGTTTGCTCGTCCCCTGCTTCCCAACACAGTCTATGTGGGAGGCTTAAAGGACAAACCTGCCAGGCCAATACCTCAAGTGAGTGAAACCTCAGCCCTCAGTTTATCTTTAATTCAAAGGCTGACAGTGCTCAGGTGGAGTCTTGGTTAGGGTTTCTGTTGCTGTGAGGAGACACCATGACCAAAGCGACTACATAAAGGAAAATATTTAATTTGGGTCTCTTTCAGTTTTTGTTTAGTCTATTATCATCATGGCAGGAAACATGGTGACATGCAGGCAGGTGCTGAGGAAGGAGCTAAGAGTCCTACATCTTGATCAACTGGCAAAAGGAAGTCAGCTGGGACACTGGGTATAGCTTTAGCTTAGAAGATTTCAAAGCCTACTCTACAGTGATACACGTCCTCCAAGAAGGCAACACTTAATCCAACAGGGCTGTAACTCCTAAAATGTGACTGCCATGGGGGCCATTTTCTTATTAATTGCCATAAGTGGAAATTGTCAGTTGGCAGGTATGTCCTGGAAGGAAGTGCTCTAAAGCAAGGTAGGCACTCTGAGAGTCCATTTTAGGGTTGTGAAAGGATGCTGTTAGAATATCCCATGCTAAGGTTGAAGACTTAGCTTTATGGTAGAATGTTTGCATTTCTTTTGTACCTATGTATTCCTGGCTTTGGTGTAATAACTCCTTTAGTTAGTATTGTTATTTCCCATTAAATTTTGAGCTATATATGTAATAAATATAGTGATTATTCGCACATATATTATTTGTTAAGAAGGAAGGCTCTTCATAATGAAACAGATAACACTTTCACAAGGCATGTACCTAGACAGAACTTAGCAATAGAGACAAGAAGAACTGATTGTGTTATTTAGTGTTCTGAACCTATTGGATTCTTTGTACTCCATCCAGCTACTGCAAACTATCAATGCTGCATGTAATTTGGATGCTCAGTCTAGACTTAGGCTCACTACAGCTGAAAATTTAAAAGTACAGAGAGCTAAGGATGTTTGATTGTTTGTTACCTGTCACTGTGGGGTTCCTTGTCCCATGCTGGGAGGAATGACCTCCTCTGATTTTATGCAGTGGTGGCCAAAATGCTGAGATGATGAAAGTAATGTTTTTACTACTTTCAGCTCAAAGAAGAGAGGGTATGGATTTTTTTCTGGTTCCCATGGGTAACAGAGTGCCTACCCTATCTTGCAGTGGGTGAGAAGTGTTTGGGGAGTGATCAGTAAGGAATATTTATATTATTTCTAGAAGGAGAAGGAGATTTCTTTTTTTTAAAAATCTGCCTTTTTATTTATTTATTTGTTTATTTATTTATTTATTAAAGATTTCTGCCTCCTCCCCGCCACCGCCTCCCATTTCCCTCCCCCTCCTCCATTTAACTCCCCCTCCCTCATCAGCCAGGGTTCCCTGCCCTGTGGGAAGTCCAAGGACCTCCCACCGAGAAGGAGATTTCTTATATGGGCTTTGGAGAGAATCTCCTGAAAACCCAAGTTTGTGGGATGTAGATGTGACTGACAGAGACCTCACCTTCTAGACAGGTGACTCAGATATTGGCACAGAGATGATGGGACATATAAGGAGAAGAGTGGGAAGAAATATTTTGAAGTAATACCCGACAAAACAGTCTGGAATCTACTCTGAGGGATGTTCAACCACACATTTCCTAAAGAATCATGGGGAAGCAAGATAAACTATGGTGGTTTTCAGTATAAGGAAAAGAAGACTCTATATCAAAACATTCACAGACGACTAAAACCTATATATAGCTATCTGAAATTTTTGTCAAACTTAAACACTATACAAATATTATTTCAAATTTGTGAAACAGTTTTTACAATGAAATATGTCATATATGCACAAATATGACATAAAAATAATAACAAATTTAGAAATTTAAAGAAGAACTTGATAATGACTGATAACTGCAATTTTACAGTTTTAGAATGAGAGGAATATCCATATAAATTATCACCTTGAATAACACTGTTATTCCCCAGAAGGCCCCTGAGTGTAGCTCGCCTGGGGAACTACAAACACCATAGGTTAAGTAGAACAATTAGGAATACATAGATAATTTTTTGAATTTATTTTTTAGGTCATTTTATGTGCCTGAGTGTTTGCATGCATACAATTTTATGCACCATGTGCATGGCATGTCTGGCCCCAGAAGAGGGCAGAAGAGAGCACTGGCTGTCCTGGAGATAGAGTTGCAGGTGGTTGTGACCTAAGGGTGGGAACTGAACTCTGGTCCTCTGGAGGGACAGCCAGTTCTCTTAGCTGCTGAACCAACTCACAAGACCCAAGTGGTCTTTCCAACAAGATCAGAATTGTTTTTCTTAAGCACGGTACAAACTCCTTGGTTCATACCTTAGATGATACACACAAAAGCAACCCTAGTAACTTTCAAAATTTTGAATTAATGCAAATATCACAGTGGGATGAGATAGATATTAACAGTATATAAAAATAGACAATGCAGTATAATACAAGTAGTAAAAGTAAGGGAAAGGTCAAAAGGAACATTTACAAATATTATATATCAAGGAAAATGAGACAAAATGATAAAATAATGGAGAATAATAAAAACAAGACTTAATATATAATTCATAGCTGTTCTTATCTTCATTAATACACACAATGTACTTGTAATTGATAACCTAACAATTCTATATAAGGCACAGTAATTAATGAAGAGAGGCCTAAACAGGGTACTAGTGGGAAGGAGAGGCTTAAAAGAATCATAGTGTAGATGATTGAAACAATAAAAAGAAAAATTAGAATCAATAAAGTCAAAAGAGCAGTTTGGTGACAAATCATTGGAATCATTGAGAAAATAAACAATAGAGAAGAATAGAATAATTATGTTCTAAAGTAGAAAATTATCTGCTATTACATAAAACAATAAAGATTATGAAGAAATTATACAAACATGATATATCATCAATTTAGTTATCCTCCATGAATTGACAAATTCCTATGCATATTTGTTAACACAACTGACTCAAAACAGAAAATCTGAAACTGATGGGATTAAATTAGACTGGAATAATCCAAAGATCTTTCATTAAAAAGCTTGATATAACATGGATTAATTGGTGAGTTAAGCGAAAAACATAAGAATTAATGCCAGTTCCTCTATAAGTGTTTGTGGCAGTTTCACAGGACAGGCGACTTCTCAACCCATTCTATGAAGCTATCATTACCCTGTAATCAAAGCCAGAAAACAATGTCAGAGTAGAAGACATTATGCAACACAGAGAGTGAAGAAATTTTGTATGCTATATTTCAAGCATGATTATAAAAGAATACAAATGGTGTCCAAAGGAGTTGTGAGGGGCCTCAATTTACTAAACAAAGAAAATGCCCTGAACAATCAGTTTATCCTGATCTTATACTTTAAGCAGTAGAAATAGTTTACTCAAATAAAATCTTGTATATGGATTTGCTTGGAAGAGAAATTCATGAGAGGCCAGCGGTGAGTAGAGGGCTGCATATCAATGCAGGCAGTGCTCAGAGCACAGCTGTACAGGGGCTAGGAAAGGAATTTTCTCACGTGGAATGTAATCAACTAAAGCATGGTTCACATTCAACATTCAACACCTGACCTGGTTTTATGTCATAGCTGCCTTGGCTTTTACAAATCACTTCTTTTGCCTTCATTCCTTTTGGTTTCTTCTAGGACCTGGAGGATTTTATCACTACTTTTGGAGACTCAGGTTTTGTCCTTGTGGCACTAGGCTCCGTAGCAACCTCATATCAGACCAAGGAACTTATTAAGGAGATGAACAGTGCCTTTGCTCGCCTCCCTCAAGGGGTGCTGTGGACAGTTAAGGATGAACATTGGCCCAAAGATGTCAGAATGGCCACAAATGTCAAAATCATGGATTGGCTTCCCCAAGCTGACCTTCTGGGTAAGCACCTCCTAGACCTGTCACTTTATTTCCATTTATGTGCTTTTGGACTTAATAGACAACTAATGTCTGAGCACTTGGGCATGTAGAAGAAACACCTGCTGATATGTAAAGATAGGTCTTGAGCAGGCAGGCAAAAGCAACTAGAGTTCTTGGGGGGAATCAAGCTTGCTCTAGACTGATGATAGCAACTATTTCCTTATCCTTCCCTGCTCAGACAGGTCCAAATCCCTAAACGGATAGGTAGCCTTGAATATCAGTATTTAAGATTGACCCCTCCAACACAGTCTTGAAAACCATGAGAACTATAGCTGCTCCTAGTGACAGATGCCACTATTTTGCTACTATTCTCACAATGATGTGAGAACGGCTTCACAGTTTTGGAGACACACATATGAATGTAAGCATGCAGACACATCTTGGTTTTCTGGAAAGGGCTGAAATATCAGACACAACATTAATGCTGGGGTGTTGAGGATGTGGAAGATGTTTGAGAGCCAGCTAGGGTAACCTTACAATATGATAAGAAGACACTGATTTCTTGAGCAAAGGGAAATTTCGTTAGCCCACCTCCCCTAAAATCATTTGTTTCTTGGTGACATTCTGTAGATACATCACTTCCACACTCAATGGCTCAGTCAGAGTTTTATAAATAAGTTTGTCACTCAAATTGAGCCTGGAAATTTTTCACATAGATCTAAATTCAGTAAAATCACATGCTACACAATAGGGAAAACATTTGTTATCCAAGGAACATGGGTAGATTTTGTGTGAGGTACAGTTTGGGATGATTTCTTTATGATCATAAGATATGTTTGGTTACTTAATATGGAGCAATAGACAAGATCTGTAAATAAAGAATCTTTTGCTCTACCATCCTCTTTAGTAAACTTCTCTTAAAATAGAGGAGTGAAACACACAGAATACAAGCTTCATAAGAGACCAGATGTGGATAGCCAGAGAAGGTTGAGGTTAGAAAATTATAGAAGACGTATCCATGGAGAAGGTGAGGATGAACAGAAGGACAGAGAAACAGGCCTGGATTGCCACCCTCTCTCTCTTCTTCCTTGTCTAGGTCCCTGATAGTTTTAGATTGAAGTAAGTTCATCTCTCTGCCTAGGGAAGCCTAGATTTTATATACTAAAACAAAGCAAATCTCAAAGGAAAAATCAGTAAAACCATTCTCTACAACACACTGCTATTTCTTGGTCTGTTTCTTTACCTGGTATCTGAAACTTTCATAGTGAAATATTGGACCATCTTTCTCTTTTGCAACAGCACATCCTAGAATTCGTCTTTTTGTTACCCATGGTGGAATGAATAGCATCATGGAGGCCATCCAGCATGGAGTACCCATGGTGGGGATTCCCTTCTTTTTAGACCAACCTGAAAACATGGTCCTTATAGAAGCCAAAAGAATTGGTGTTTCAGTTCAGGTAGAGACTCTCAAGGCAGAGACATTTACACTTACACTGAAAGAAGTCATTGAAAACAAGAGGTATGCAGCTCTCTGGGGTTGGTGTTGTTTGCATTGAATGCAGGCCTAACATTTTGGGGCTGTGTAGTTTGTTTACCAATAAAACTAGAATTATTGGGGTGTGGTAAAATACATGTTTGTTACTTGAAAGTCCTGTTTTTCCTTTAGTATTAATCCTAATTTCACGTGAGGTACTGTAAATACACTTATAACTGCTGTGGTGTGATAATTTCTTCTACATTCATTATCTTTATGACCTCTTATATTTTGGGTACGTGTAATAGAATTCCAAATGAGGCAGCAGGGAACATTTGTATGTTCTTAAGACGGCTGATGTCCCGACTCATCATATACATATAGAATTTCAATTGAATCACAAGAGGACTGTTTTAGTTACTGTTCTATTTCTGTGAGGAGGACCTATGACCAAGGTTGTTGCAGAGGTTCCTTGTTTGTTTCCCGGCTGCCCAGTCCTGAAATAATCATACAAAACCATGTTAATAAAATTGTTGCTTAGTCTATTAGCTTATGCATATTGCTAGCTAACATGGACATCTTAAATCAACCCATCTCTCTTAATCTGTGCATCACCACGAGTTTGTGGCCAACCAGTAAGCTTACATTCAGGATCTGTCTTTTGTGGTGGCTTCATTACTTCTCTCTGACTCAGCCTACTCTCCCCCTCCTCTATCTTCTTGGAAATCCCACCTTACTCTTCTGTGTGACAGCAGGACCAAAGTAGTTTTATTCATTAACCAATGGTATTCACAGCATACACTGGGGTATCCCACATACAAAGTTATGTATAAGATAAAGCATTCAATAGGTCTTTGCTTGCAGTTCAGGGAGTTAGTGCATGACCCTCATGTTGGCAAGTGTGGCTGTAGGCATGGCACAGAGGCTGTAGCTGGGAGCTTTCATCTTGATCTGCATGCAGGCTGGAGGCAGAAAGAACAAGACAGGGCCTGATGTGGGCCTTTTTTAAGACCACCGGTGGCAAACCTCCTCCAGCAAAAATCACAATTATTAATCCTACCTAAACAGTCCACCAACTAGAGCAAACATTCAGATATCTGTGGTTATGGGGGCCATTGTTCACTCAAACCATGACAAGGACCTTCTCTTATCTTTACAGTGGTGATCTCCTCTCCTCAGGGTCTTTGTGTTGACATCCCAGGACAGTCTCTCCAATGTTGTCCTCCTAGGAGACCATGTACTTGGCTGTTATTTTTCTGTTACTGTGCTCAGTCATCATACACTACATTCTCTTTGACCCTTCAATAGATTGTAATATCTCAGTCACGTGTGTCACTACTGTCTGCCCCACACTAGCACATAGAAAATGGGCATCATGAGGAAGCCCTGACTATCTGTTTCCACTCTGCTTCTAGAGCCAAGGGCAGACCTGTTATAAAGGAAGTTTTCCCAAACCTAGAATATATTAGACAGGAACAGAGATGAGAACAGTTGACCCACATATCACTTGCCCATCTTCACGATTTCACTAAATACTAATGTTTCAATGTCCTAATCATGTAATCAAATATACATTCACATATGTTTAAATATATTTAACGTGAACACTACTTCAGTGTCATAGCACAATCCTTACAGATAGAGTAATTTTTAAAAATTTCCCTTCAGCCGGGCTGTGGTGGCGCATGCCTTTAATCCCAGCACTCGGGAGGCAGAGGTAGGCGGATCTCTGTGAGTTCGAGACCAGCCAAGTCTCTCGTTCCAGGATAGGCTCCAAAGCTACAGAGAAACCCTGTCTTGAAAAACCAAAAAAAAAAAAAAAAAAAAAAAAAAAAAAAAAAAAAAAAAAAAAAAAAAAAAAACCAAAAACCAAAACAAAACAAAAAAACCCCCAAAACAACAACAACAACAACAAAACAATTCCCTTCAAAGCTTAATTTTGATCCTTCTGTATAAGGTTTGACATTCAGCTTTTTTTTTGTCCTTATAATGGGGACTCAAGTAGACAGTGTTAAGTGTATGCCAACAATTTTCTTTGAAGATGGGTATAGACTAGGAAAAATGTGAGTGTGTGTGTTTATGTTATAAGGTCTAAAGAACTGGCACAGCACATTGGTAACACATTCTCTCTGTGTTTGCCCTCAGGTACAAGTCTGCAGCAATGACTGCCAGGGCCATCAGGCGCTCCCACCCCCTCACACCTTCCCAGCGTCTGGTGGGCTGGATTGACCACATCCTACAAACAGGGGGAGGAGCGCATCTAAAGCCCCATGGCTTTCAGCAGCCATGGCATGTGCAGCACCTGCTGGATGTCCTGTTGTTCCTGCTGGGGCTCACTCTGGCCACCTTGTGGCTGTTGAAGAAAGTGCTGGGCTTGTTGCTCAGGCTGCTGTGTGTGGCTAGGAAGGAAAAGAAGGCATAATGGTCAGTTTGACCTGGGGGAGGATGTTGGGAGCTCTGGCTCTTTAAAGGCTTCCCCGTTCCCTAGTACAAGAAACTCCCAGGGTTCTCCTTTTTCCCTCTTCATGCAGGTAGAGCTCCAGTTGTCCTCACTATTGTCTGTCTTTTTCATAAGCCTCATACAGTACATTGACTGACTAGTGACTCCTGACTCCTCATTCCCTGGCTCCCCTTGCTCTAGTAAAATCCTTCTTTTCCCGGTCATTTCTCCTCTTCGGTCCTCTCTGCCATTCACAGTGCTGCGAGAGTTTCATCATCTCTGTTACTTCTAGTCTCTGAATCTTACTTCTCCAATCACTTGAGATAAAAACCCCACACTTGACAAATTCTACTTACTCTTTTATTTTTTTGTAATTTATAATCTTTCTTTAGAGTTCAAATGCCTAGAGTGCTGTTACCCTGTTAGGGAGGATCATCCACTCCCAGATGTAATAAGAACCAGTTTGCCTGAAAATGACAACATACAAATGAAGTAAATACATTTTCCTGGATAATGAATGAAATAACAAATAAAGTTAACAGAAAATTGAAGGGTTGGGAGAATGCATTTCTTCTTATGACTAGTATGCAAGATTTATTTCCTCATGTGTGAGAAATTTACATAAGAAAAGAAAAGAAACTACAGTCTGTCCAGTTATTGGAGTAACAGATATATGTAAAAGAGAATAATAATTTTGAGATTTATAAGTTGATACAGAATGAACCTCAGTGTTGTTAAGTAAGTAGATTAAAAAGAAAAGCAATAAATATAGAATGTCTTATTTTTTTCAAGAAGGTAGGAGTTAAGGGACAACAAATAATGTGTAAACTTTCTTTCATAAAATATTATCCTCAAAACAAATATACATGGAAAATTATGTGAGGGATCATGTGCAGTGTGTGGATGAGGATCTCATGTCACAGTTCATTCTGCACACAGGGATTTTCAGGTGATTAGAATTGTATGTACAAAACATGTTAACTCTGAGATTCAGACTTCCTGATATAGATGAAGGATTTTCTCTTTTGCCCGGTACCACAGCCTCCAAATTATCACTTCCAAATAATCACTCAGAGAATTACATTAATTATAAATATTTGTCCAATGATTCAGGCTTATTATTAGCTAGCTCCTATGTTTAAATTAATCATTTTTTTTAGTCTATAGTTTGCTGCATGGTTCGCAGTTTATTACCTTATTTACATGTCTCTCTTCCTCAGGGTAGTCTGGATTCTTCAAGATTCTGCCCTTCTTCTCTTGTATCTCTGCTTGAATTTTTCATCTGGCTCTATCCTGCTTTGCTCTAGACTAAATCACCTTTATTTATTAATCAATACATAGAGGAGCACATATTCACAGCATACAGAAAGATATTCCATGGCATTTCTGCTTTTCTGTATAATCAAAAAGAAGGGCTTTAACATAGTAAAATTACATATAAAAAACAGTTATCAAGTAAAAATTGCAGTTATAATATCTAGTCTATTTGTATTTGGCAAATTTAAAGAAAATACTCTATCATATATCCTATCTTGTGATTCTAAAGTTTCATATCTAATTTATCTTTTATCATATCTAATGAAAACTATAATTATAACTATCTGATCTTCAATTCCATCAAATGTCCCAGAAAAATAGAAAAGTTCCTGAATAAACAAGAAGTTCATTGCAAGCAACTTCCAAACTCTATAATTGACAGAGACCTCTGACTGTGTGGACATTCACCCAAAGTTCTTACTTAATGTTGGGCTATCAATATTCAGCCTATAGGCCTAGAGTATCTGGCAGACTTTTCAGTGAAGCAGGAAATCCCACCAATATTGGCAAAGTACATGAGTCACTTTTCTCTGTGTCCTGCCGTCGGCAGTTTCTTCTATGAAACAGGAACCTGAAGGATCATCCTGCCTTGCTTTGCCAAAGTTTAGTGGTCATTTTCATGTGGTTCCTGCATGCCCACTTTATACAGTATACTGTCAAGCAGTCAGGCAAAAGTAGCTTCTTGCCCAAATGGTTACCCTTGCTACATTGAAAGCAAATTCCATAAGGAGTTTCTTCAATGCCCATCATCCTCTTGAGATAATTAGTGCTGCTAGAGGCAGATGTATATCTGATGGGCCAAAATTATCTCAGGGCCTCTACCTCGAGGCACATAGGATGGAAAAAAGTATGGCTTGAGTTCAGGGCTTAGACTTTATGACCTGTAGAACAGAGAAAAGTCTGGCTTGAGTTTAAGTGAAGATGAGACAGCAAGAACTAGGTAGATGACCCTCCAGCCAGAAGGAGGGTCTGGCTGCCTCTCATTGACTGGGGTATCCTCATAACATATCATGTCACTCAACCTATATAAGGCGATGTTCACAGTAATAAACTTAGTTTCTGCTTGACTCGATTCCCTATTGCATCTGATTGTCCTGTCTCATGGGGCTGCAGAAGAAGCATCTTTCATTGTGGGACTGCGAAATGGGCAGATAGCATACTCATCTTTCTCTGGGGAATAAGGAGGCCTAGCAATGACTAGGGGAATGTAGAGGCTCGAGAAGCCTGGCAACTGAAGGCTCAAGAAGCCAACATGTATTTGTTGAGAAAATTCACAGTTTTCAAATATTTTATACGCCACATTCTGTAGGTCTTTGAAGTGTTTGAAGATTACCTACCTAATTGAAATAGATCATCTAGAAATATACCTAGAAAAACTAACTAATATGACTATAAATTTGAATATTATAGATTACTATTAATCTGTATTTTTAGTTATTTATTACATTTTTAAATGAGCTACATATACATAATATCTTAAAGAAAAATAGAAATACATATTGTAAAACAAAATTAACTTTAAATTTGCATCAATAAACTAAAATCATACCAATGTAAAATTTGTGGAGATTAGAAATTTTTTAAATTACAGTAGATGCAATAATCTATTCTTTTTTCATCATTTCTATATCATATCCCCTTTCTTCTGTTAAAAGAAATTGACTATGACAAATAACAATTCATAAACAAGCCCTCTTTAAAGAAAATACACTTTTATAAAATAGAGTTTGGGAATTTGGGCATAGTTTTCTAGACTACTTCCTGCTGATTGTTGGGCACTGCTAATCTTATAGGGACCCTGAGAAAATTTGAGATCAAAGCCAAATCCTGGGAAGATCAGTTATAACCTTTGAAGGAGGATGTCAAAGTTCAGGAGGAGTCCCTTTATCAAATCTGGTCCATGTTAACCTGGAAAAAATTCATAGCCTCTTGTTTCCTGTGGAAAAACATTTTACCCAACAATACATCTTTTAAGTTCCCAATACAAATGCATTTTGGACTTCTGTTTTAGAGTTAAAGCATTTTAAAAATATTTATGTTTGTGCATTTTATCTGTCTCTCTTTCAGTTTCATGTCTCTCTACACCTATTATGCTGTAGGAACTCCTTCAGCCTGCAGCATTTAAGTTACCAGCCCACTTGGGCATGGCCTCTTATACTATAAATCCCAATGTAAAGCGTGCACCCCTCTCTCTTCCAGCTGCTGTTTTCCCGTTCATGCCGAGGACTGTAATCTGTAAACCCACCTCTAAATAAATAACCCTTTATTTTTTTTTTTAATTTTTTTTATTTTTTTTATTTTTTTTTATTTTATTGAGAATAAGAAAAAAAAGTTTCCGCCTCCTCCCAGCCTCCCATTTCCCTCCCCCTCCCCC